TACAGTACCCTACAGATACTATAGTACCATACAGTATACTACAGTACACATCTGTTTGAATAAATCAGGCTCATGCTAAGTTCCTGCCAAAACCAACACAGACATGTTCCTGTTTTTAGTATTTTATATCACTTTATAATCTAGCTGTTTTTGTTTTGTTTTTTTAACATCACTTTCTTCCATTTATTTTTCATTTTATATGTTTTTATGTGGTTGTCTACTGTTGTTAAATCAGGTCTCTCTTGTAAATGAGTCCTTGAGGCTCAAGGAGACTAACTCTAGAAACAAAGGTTGAATGAATGATGTTGGATCAACATTTATCTAAATTAATCATCATATTTCCTTTATTGTTTGTTTCTAATTTAAAAGTTTAACATCTGTCTATAAACTTTATAAATCGATTAAATGATGAAAAATAAATCAAACAGGTGAAACCTTCAGGACAACCAGGAGGGTTTCCCTCACCAAGATGGCGGCTCTGATGATGGCGGATCGAGTTTAATAATTAACCACCTTCTTCTTCGTGTGTTCTCTAACGGTCCAGCAGGGTCAGAGGTCAGGATCCAGGCAGCTCTCAGGTAGTTCCAGTACCTGATCGGTTCTGAGGTAATATTCGGACTTCAACAGTTTCCCTCCGTGTTTAGTTCAGCTCACCTGCTTCCCGGCTCCTCCTCTGATCGATCGTTAGCTCGATGCTAACATCAGCAGGTGTGTTCACCTGAGAGCCGTCGCGTGCAAACGCTGTCTTCTGCGGCGCGTCACCTGAATCACAAAGGTGAAAGTCCAACTTCAAGTTCTGTTCCACAAAACAGAGCTACAGAACCATTACAAAGAGCAGCAAAACCGCGGAGGGCCGCGCCGGGACTGACAGGAAGTGGTTATATCTTCTTCTTCTGTTGCTTTGCTTCCGGCGACTCTCTGCCGCCCCCTGTGGACACAGCTGGAACTACAGCCGCTGAGCAACAACAAGGAGTCCCGCTGTAAACTACTACACAAACCTTTTTATTATCACTGGGTTCTAAAGAAATTAAAGTATATTTATTAAATTAATCTTTTGGCACTTTAATAAATACTTTATTTAAACATGTGTTGAACAAATGAAGCCTTTTATTTATTTACAAAAACTTGTTCTGTTAATGGTGGTGCAACTGGTAGAGCTGCTGCCTCTCAGCGAGCAGGTCCTTGGTTCAAATCCCGGTCCAGGGGCCTTTCTGGGTGG